CTGCTGTCCAAAGTGCTAGAGAAGAAGTCAGCAGCAATAGACATGGTTTAGCATCTACCTCGACTCCCTATGCAATTTGCAAGGATTTACGTTGAATCAACCAAGCAGATCTGATGTGGTAAATGAGCTGCATGTGGCTCCAAAACAAGCTTCTGATTCTAAATGCATCAGTGATGCAAATTTTCCATGAATGAGGGCAATTCGGATACCTCTGCAGTTTATGATGGAGGTGGTGATAGAATTAGTGCTGAAGTTTCTTTTTATAAAGCTGGAATTGATTCATCAAATGAAACTCCTTTACAAAATACTGTTTTATAGAATAATGCAAATGATCAACTTGGCTCTTCTGGATCTCGAGTGTGTGACTCTGACTTTAACCCTTGATAACGGTTAAGAAGTAAAGTTTCTCTTGTCGAGAGGATTGTTCAGTCTTCTGATCTTGGTCGAAAATCATTTGAGTGAATGTGATAGATGCTACACTGTTCCTTGTCCTGCTGATGTTTCCGCACAACGTGGTGCTGAAGAAAAGTTTGAGAACTATGATCCTGTTAGTGTTCTTCTCATACTGGCCATGATATTACCTCGATCAGCAGCCAACTTGAAATAGGACATTGTTTCCCCAGCTGAATCTACAGTCAACTACTCAGGCATCGTTGATGTTTGGAGCTATTTGGGTTGGTTTTCTGTTGAACTGATTCTTGATGTTTCCTTCCGAGCTTTGGCTCAATTGTGCAAAAGGCAGTTTGGAGGAGGACGAGAAAAGAATTGCTCAGCAAGGCTATTGGACAAAGTGGTCTAAATCATGCCGTTTCCATGGGATCTAGGTGGAAGTTGAAATGAAGTTGGAAGGCTATGGTAGTTTCTGATTAGGTGCACTGAACAAGATCCCTCTACCATTTTAAGAATGTGGTCGCTAAATGCCTTTATAGGAGCTGGGGAAAGTACATGGATGCTACAAATCTATCTACACAGCAGTGTATGCTATGGTTTGATGGGAAATGAATGCACTTGTTTTGTTGGAAGGCATTTAGCAATGCCAATGTTTCTTGCCTTGCCGTCTAAACAGATGATTCCTTACAGAATACACATTCAGGAAGATGTGCATTATACTTGATGGCTTTGGCGCATTTTGAGAATTCTGCTGACTTCATTGGTAAATAGTATTCTTGCATTTTCTAAATGAACATATGTAGATATATGTATATCTAATATTCAAGTTTTCGATGGTCATTGAGATCTTTGAAATCCATCATTTGAACGGATAATTTCGCGACATCTGGTTCAATTCTCTTGGAAGCTTTTTTCTGGTGACATTAAGCACCCATCTACCAAGTGAAAAAGGAAAAAGTAGTGTCAAGTATTCATTACCCAAACTGCTGTAACTAGCTCAAGGGTGTGAATATTGAAAACTCAATCTTTCATTTAAAGATTACTCTCTTGAGCCTATTAGTACATGACATTCTTTTCATTGCAAAATGATTCTCATTCATACTATTCTCTTCAGTAAAAAAATCTCTGCAGTTTCCATGTGACCTAAGTCGATGTGTAGTTTTTCTCAAATACATTTGTAAACCGTGGCTTTGCCAGTCGGATCCGTTTCTGCCACCTTCATTTGACTTTGCATTTTTCTTGACATTGTTAGTGCTCCTTTCCCGTAATTGGTGGATTTTTAGCACCCCGGAGGCGGATTTGAAGCTTATAAGTTCTTGCCGACTATATTTATAAATATTTAATCGGTTTCTTTATATATATACAGGGCACGCAAAATTTATTGGGTTCACATGGTGTAATCAAGCCTCCGCATCTGCCCTGCCACAATTAACAAGCGTTTTTTCTGTAAAAATAGTACAGTCTAGCCAGTTTTCGGACTGGTCATTCAAAAATAGTAACGTTTACCAAGTCAATAAAAAATAGCCACTATTTTGCTGCAACAGAGACCAGTCCAGCATAATATACTGGAAGTATATACTGGAGTTCGGTGCACCTGTGTATGAACTTTCAACATATTATGCTGGAACTCCAACACACGGAAAGTACCAGCATAATATACTGGAGATTCGAGCACTTGTGTATGAACTTCCAACATATTTTACTGGATCGGTATACTTTGCTGGAACTCCAGTATATTATAATATACTGGAGTTCTAGTGTACTTATGTTAGAACTCCATCATATTATGCTGGAGTTCCAGCATACTTATCATGGAACTTTAGTATAATATGCTGGAGTTCAAGTATACTTATGCTGGAACTCCAACATAATATACTGACGTATTTTCCTGGTTTAGAATAGTGTTTTAGCTCAGATTTATCTTTACATGAAAAATGGGCTAAATTTCGATTACTTTTGAAATTGGGATATTTTTGAACGACCACTTGTAAATCTGGCTATTTTTGAATTTCTCCGTTTTTTTCCACTAACCAACCGAAGGCTCTTATCATGCTCAAGCTACGGTTACGTCAAACTCCGAGATGTATAGACTTCTATACAAATGGATGTTGAGCTTTCAATTTGAGATTGTCGATATACGGGAGAAATTTAAAAATAGCCAGATTTATAACTGGTCATTCAAAAATAGCCCAGTTTCAAAAGTAATCGAAATTTAGTTACTGTTCATGTAAAGATAAATCTGAGCGAAAACACTGTTCAAAACCCGAAAATACGCCCGTATATTATACTTGAGTTCAAACATACTTATGCTGGAACTCCAGCATAATATGTTGGAGTTCCAGCATAAGTACACTAGAACTCCAGCATAATATACTGGAGTTCCAGCAAGTATAAATGTCCAGTATATTATACAGGAGTCAACAAAGTATAAACCGGTCCAGCATAATATGTTGGAGTTTATACACAGATGCACCGAACTCCCGTATATTATGCGGGACTAGTCTCTGTTGCAGCAAAATAATAGCTATTTTTCATTGCCTTCGTAAACGGTGGCTATTTTTGAATAACTAGTCCGAAAACTGGCTAGACCGTATTATTTTAACTCAATATACACATGATTATAGTTTTGAACCTTGTGTTTTGGATGGTACTATTTTTTGGTAGTACGAGGAAGAGTAGCACTCTCAATCAATCATTAACTCTACCAACGTCCTCCAAGAATAAAGTTACTCCCTCTGTCTCGCGTTATCTGTCGTGTTTTTCTTTTACACGCCTCTTAAGAAATACTCTCTCCGGTCCATAATAAGTGATCAATTTACTTTTTTATTTTGGTCCAAAATAAGTGTCCATTTATATAATCAAGAAAAAGTTCAATTTATTTTTCCAAAATTACCCTTATGTACGTATCCCTAAAAAGTCTTTTACTCCTTACATTAACTATGTTGCAACTAGGGGTGTACAAAGGAAATCGACAAACCGCACTAACCTGATAATCCGAGTCAAATTGAGAAAAAAATTCGACTATGGTTTGGTTTGATTTTAAAAAATCCGACCATAATTGGTTTGGTTTGGTTTTAACGAAAGAAAGTCAAACCGAAACTAAACTAACCCGACATTACATATATAGAATTTTTAGATATTTAATATATAAATATACTTATTGTGATGTAATTTATAAATATTTCTTAAAAGATTTCATAATTTTATCTTTTGAGGTATTATTTCAAGGTTGGACTTAGAACTTTTGAATGTTACAATAAGTTTTATAGCCATTAACATTAGTAAATTAGTTAGTGCTAACAAAAGCCCAAACCAAAATCAAATCAATACTAATGCTAACAAAAGACATTCAACTCAATACTACGAACGAGAATGTATTGAATATCTATTTTTTGTTTTGCAATAATTTAGATAAAAATGCATAACATATTTTATTTTTTCTTTAGCTTTTAGTCATGTAATTAATATTCCCTTATTAGTGTACTTATTTTAGTATGACTTGTACTTTTAGATTATGTTTATTTTTATCATGGCTTGTTAATTAGCGATATTTATATTACATAAGTTTATTGTCTTTATTATTGAATATTTTAGGATAATGCCATGACATATCTCATATTTTGTATTATTTTCTTAGAAAATACTTTATATAGTTGTACTAGGACTAAAGAAATATTTTGAGCACAATTTATATGTTTTGTTCAACGAAGATTTTACCGAAAAAAATCCGAAAAAACCCGAATAACCGGAAAACCCGAGAAAAACCGAGAGTGAAAAACTCGAGTTTTATTGGTTTGGTTTGGTCTTTAGATTTAATAAACCGACACAATTGGTTTGGTTTGGTAATTGTAAAATCTGAACCAACCCGATCTATGTACACCCCTAGCTGTAACATTTAATTAAGGATAGTTTAGTCACACAAACTATTTTTGTCTAGAATTTAGTATTTTCTTAATGGGTGTGCCCAAGGCAAATTGGTCACTTATTTGAACCGGAGGGAGAATTAATTAAGAAAGAGATTGGACTATTCTACTCTTATTTATGTCTTAAGATATAATCTCTCTTTATTGAATATTTATTCTATTTATGTGTTATCTCCATCTTCAAGAACAATTACTACTAAGGGTAAAAAAGGAAAAAAAACATTCAATTTTGTCTTGAACTTCTAAAATGACAGATAATTTGAGACAACTATTTTTAGTAACCACAACTGTAAGTATGAGACGTAGGGAGTACAAAACTAAGAAGTTGTGAGTTCGAGTCTCCCCAAGAGCAATGTGGGAAGTTCTTGGAGGGAAGGATGCCGATGGTCTATTTGGAAACAGCCTCTCTACCTAGAAGTAAGGTCTGCGTACACATTATCCTCCCCAGACCCCACTAAGTGAGATTATTCTGTATTGTTGTTGTTGTTATTGTTGCAGGGATTACAAAACTAAAAGAAAGTACTTCTGCCAAGTTTTATGTGACATCTTTTTCTCTTTAGTTTATTTAAAAAAGAATAACATAGTTTTTAATTTTAAAAAAGAATAGCTTAAAAACTTATAAAAATATTTATAATATATTTTAAATCACAAGTTTCAAAAATTTCCCCCTTAAAACTCTATATTTATTCATACAAAGTCACATAAAATGTGACACAATAATTTCTTATAAAGAATGCTCAAATATGAGAGTAAGAATCGAAAATCCTCACTTTATGAATGTTTCCTTTTCCTCTTAGTTATGATTTAGGAGAGAATCAACCCAACATTTTAAAACAACAACAACAATTCTTCAATCCCAAACAAGTTAGAGTTTAGGCCAAAATGATTTAATATTTGATCCGCGAATTTATGTTTAGTCCGCGAGAAATCTATCGGCAGTGATCTGTGCTACTGACCGTTCGCTGAGCTTATAAGACTAGACCACAGTAGTGATTCCCCACCAACTGTTCGATACATTGTCTCAAAGAAGTTGAAGCAAAGATATTGACTTTTCAGCACTTTTTATGCTAATTTGGAGCTGTAGCTGATTGATTTTTTCCATGTCAATCATGTTATTCAGAAGACAACTCATCAACTTGTCTTGTATACTCAATTCCCAATTTCTTCTAAGAGTATGTTCATATTCCTCAAGACCAACAAGAGCTTGTCAAGCAAATGAACTTAATTTCGTCGATGATAGTAAAACCCATTCAGCTGCTGCAAATGTTGATAACAGGGTTTTTCACCTTTCACCATTGTATAGGGATATTAATAAGGATTCTTTAAAAGATTGCAAGATTGAATTAGTGGATAATGAGACTTGGAGGGTGTCCTCTGGTTTAGCTGAGGCATGGCGAGACAACACAAATGTTGCATCCAAGAAAAAGTCATTTTCCATTGAAACTGAAATTGATGATGAGGCGACTAGTTATGCGTCTTTGAACGAGGACGGTCATGACTTTGATGAGATTGAGGATATGAGGATACGCGGGAACTTGTTTTACAAGCTTGATAAAGATTCCAAGGAATACGAAGAATATAAGTTTGAATTCCATAGAAGGAATACGAACAAGAATAATGGAAATGACGGTCCAAAAGAGAAGGAAAAATCGAATAACGTTTCAGCTTCTAGGGTCGAGAAAGGTCTAAAGGGTATAGATGAGAAGCAGCAAAACAAGAAAGAGAAACTGAGCTATAACTCTGCCTCTCCGTTTCAGAATTTTCAGCTAAATGATTTCGGAGCATCTCCAATAAAGAGGTTAAGGGTTCCAACTTTTAATCAGCTTACTGCCCCTTATCATGAGCCGTTTTGTTTGGATATTTATGTGTCGAAAGGTTCAGTAAGTGCTAGCATTATCCACAGAGCTACTAGCAAGGTTGTTGTTGTGGCGCACTCTATTTCAAAGGACATGAAATTTGACTTGGGATCAACTAAGAATAGAGCTACTTGTGCTGCTATTGGGGAAGTTCTGGCTCAAAGAGCACTGGCTGATGATATTCATAACGTAGTTTATACGCCAAGGAAAGGGGAGAAATTGGAAGGGAAACTTGAGATTGTACTTCAGTCCATTATTAACAATGGCATCAATGTGAAGGTGAAGATTAAGCAGAGGAAAACCAAGAAACCTGGCTTCCACCGCCCGACAGCTTAGGTGGTCATCCTACATTACGTAGGATGAAATTAAAAGTGACAAGGAAGTTTTATCAACGTCTTATAAGCTCGAAACAGCGCAATGTAGTAAGTAGAACAAGGTCAGAGATGTATTACTACCTCTTTTGCGAGGTTGCAGAACATTTCCCTAAATTCAGTCTTTAAATCGGTTTCAATAGTAGTTACAAACTTGGGAATAAATCTTTTATTTCCTGCAATTTGTATTCTCTTTATGAGAATACATTGCTGTTAATGGAGAAATCTGCTTTACATGTTAGCATTCTTTGTAATTATATGATAGAAAGAACAAAAAATTGAGACTTTCTTTTGGTTTAGCACCTGGTCCAGTACCCTCTCTGGGACCCGACATCCAGATTCGGGAAGTCCCACTTTGGGCGGTGAAGTGCTCACTACCAAATCCAAGGGCTCGAACCCGAGACCTTTGGACGCTGGTTAAGGATAAAAGGGTACTTACCACCCCACCACAACCTTTGATAGCACACCTGTAACTACATGGTTGAAGGTTTCACACTTGGTGTCTGGTACCCTCTTTTGGGCCCGACATCCGGATTCCGGAAGTCCCACTTTGGGAGTAAAGTGCTCACTACCAGAGGTGACTTCTTCCTACGGCTCGAACCCTTCTTCCTAGGGCTCGAACCCGAGACCTCTGGTTAAGGACGGAGGGGTACTTACCACCCCACCACAACCTTTGATTTCCAAAAAGATAGTCTGAAAACACCTTTAACTACATGGTTGAGCGCTTGTAAAATAATTCTGTATGGGATCAAGAGCAATTTTTGGTTCATTTATATGTTCGAATGCCTTACGTAGAGACGAAAGACATATTCTCAGTAAACAATTTATAGCAAAAAACAGCACATACTTTTGCATTGAATTCCTCAAGAAGTACAACATCTTATATCAGTTTCTACATCAGTCAAAAATGGAATAACAAAAACAGGAGTCATCTTCAGGTTCAGTCATCAGCAGTTGCTAGTTGCAGAGACAAAAGTTCTTCCTCAGGTATAACTCTAATATGACAATCTGATCTTGGATAAGCTGCACATAGTAATGCATAACCTCTCTCCACAACATCATCACTAAGCATACCTTCACTTTGATCCACTTTCCCACTGAGTAACTTAGCTGGACAAGTCATGCAAACTCCTAGTTTGCAATCATATGGTACAGACATGCCGACGTCGAGAGCCTTAGACAAGATTGTCTCATCAGGTTCAACTTCCAACTCTGTGGTTTTACCTTCATGTTCTACTAATACTTTATAAGCCCGGATAACGGTTGATATTCGACGATTTTTGGTTTTCCAGGGACTGTTTAGATGAATAGCAGTAGCAACATTGGCTTGGTTTCTTGGTGAGATGAGGGTGAAAGATGGAGAGGTTGTAAAATGAAGTGTCGCCATGTTAATGAGGGAAATGAGAAGGGAAGGTTTTGTGGGTGTGGATAAAATGTCTTTGATGAGAAGATAAGGTTCTATTGGAAGTTAATTGGTGGATTTTGGTTTGCAGTCTGGGAATGGGCTACTCGTGTAACTGTATTATTGCTGGCTAAAATGGAAATTTGGGCTGCACTTTGCCTGCAAATTTTTTCTTTCCTATACATATGAAACCTTATTACAAAAAATGTGCATAATTTCTAATTTACCCGCCCTGTCCATATTTTTTCTACTGGTATTATACCAATCATTAAATACTAATTAATAGTAGCTGAATCTTCCTAATTTGTTGAGCTAAAATTGAGGAACAGAATATTCTAAAAAGATTTGGCGTAAATCAGATCAAATCATATCTTCCAGATATTCCTATTTAGGCGCGCTACAATTATAGAAGTAAATATTCTTTCAGATATTTTTCATCATTGATAGCCATTAAAAAGCTTGAAAGCTTTGAATTCAAATTTGGGTTTTCAAAAATCATTATTTGTTTGGATTGTGTGTTGTTGAAATTAATCGGGGATATGGTTTGGAGTTTATATCTCAATTTTGAAGGGTTTTGGTGAAGATTAGACTTGGTTTTGACTGAAATTCAGATTGAAACTCGAAGAAGAAGACATATTGCAGAAATTGTAGATTATTTGTATTCTGATTGTAGATGCTTTATTTTCTGTTTTCACAAATAAAAAATGGCTAAAACTTCTACAAATCTTCTGAAAAACGTAATTATGTCAAAAATCACAATTATGCTACAATTGGATGGGAATTGGGATATTAAAATTCAATGTATCTAGTTTGTATATATTTTGTAGATAAATTGTAGATTATTTGTATTCTGATTGTAGATGCATTGTTTTCTGTTTTCACAAATCCAAAACGACTAAAACTTCTACAAAATCTTCTGCAAAAAACAATCTACATTTTATCTATAATTTTTGTAATATGTCTCAATCTGAATTTCAGTCAAAATCAAGTCTAATCTTCACGAAAACCCCTCAAAATTGAGATATAAACTCCAAAACATATTCCCAATTATTTTCAACAACACCCAATCAAAACAAATAATGATTTTTGAAAACTCAAATTTGAATTCAAAGCTTCAAAGCTTTTTAATGGCTGTCAATGGTGGAATTGCTACTCTCTTGTCTCTTTGAAGGTTTGTTCTTCTTCATTGAGAAAATTTGAAACTGAAGGTAAATGTGTGTATGAACTTTGAAGAGTTGACTTCAATTTTGATTAACTTTATTGTTCTTCATTGATAAACTTTAAAACCAACTTTGTTGAAGGGTTTCTTCAATTTTCTATGAATTTAGAGGGAGAATTTGGTTTCAAAAGATGGAAAATGGTAAAAAGAACGTCAGTATGGGTAAAATGTGGGTGCGACTGAGGGGTTAGGAGGGAGAAACGTGCAAATTTCTTTAATTAAGGAGTAAAAAATGTACAATTAATTATACCCTTAATTAATTATGGTATAGAATTGGTAATTTGGTATACTAAGTGTAATTAAGTCAAACCTTAAACATTGAGGGTAATAAGGTTTCCTACGTGGCATAGTAATGTAAAAATCTCTTCCACCAATTTGGGTAAAAGTTGTGTGGGGTAGCCAATTTTTAAAGTTGTATTTACTTTTTATCCAGCATTTTTAATACTTAACAATAGTAACTACTAATCTATTAAAATTAATATAAAAAGACTATGTTACCCTTTCTTCTATCTCTTTTGCTTCCCAAACCCTCTATCAAGTCCGGGTTTGACATAAAAGTCTCTATCCAGTCTTCTACAAATACTGGAACTAATTTGGTCTTGTTGAAAGTAATCATGTATTTCAGTTACTGACAGGATTCTCTGCTTCTTTCTTAGAAGGAAATTATTTCAGGGGAAGCATTCTTTAATTTGTGCAATTCTACTTTGGAACTTAATAAAAATTATGCAATCATGCTGATTAAGGGACGTTTTCCTCTGCTGCCGGCGATATTCAACTAACTCATCAATGGGAAATCTTAAGTCAAGTTTGATTGCCTCTAGCGGTAGTTTTTGGAGATTTGAGAAAGAACAAGCACATAAATTAAGTGTCAAAAGTTAAGGACAATAGGTCCTCGACTTACAGTTACAAGTTAAAAAGTCGAGGACAATAGGTCTTGAAGTCCTGAACTTAGACTAACAAGCTCAAAAGTTAAGGACAATAAGTCTCGACTTACAGTTACAAGTTCAAAAGTCGAGGACAATAGGTCTTGAAGTCCTGAACTTAGACTAACAAGCTCAAAAGTTAAGGACAATAAGTCTCGACTTACAGTTACAAGTTCAAAAGTCGAGGACAATAGGTCTTGAAGTCCTGAACTTAGACTAACAACCTCAAAAGTTAAGGACAATAAGTCCTCGACTTACAGTTACAAGTTCAAAAGTCGAGGACAATAAGTCTTGAAGTCCTGAACTTAGACTAACAAGCTCAAAAGTTAAGGATAATAGGTCCTCAACTTACAGTTACAAGTTCAAAAGTTAGAGGACAATAGGTCTTGAAGTCCTGAACTTAGACTAACAAGCTCAAAAGTTAAGCACAATAAGTCCTGAACTTAAGGTAAGAAGCCCAAAAGTTAAGGACAATAGGTCCTGAGCTTAGACTAAAGCTCAAAAGTTAAGGACAATAGGTCCTGAATTTAGACTAACAAGCTCAAAAGTTAAGGACATTTGGTCCTGAACTTGCAGTTACAAGCTCAAAAGTTAAGGACACTTGGTCCTGAACTTAGACTAACAAGCTCAAAAGTTAAGGACATTTGGTCCTGAACTTGCAGTTACAAGCTCAAAAGTTAAGGACACTTGGTCCTGAACTTAGACTAACAAGCTCAAAAGTTAAGGACATTTGGTCCTGAACTTGCAGTTACAAGCTCAAAAGTTAAGGACACTTGGTCCTGAACTTAGACTAACAAGCTCAAAAATTAAGGACAATAGGTCCTGAACTTAAACTTATAAGTTCAAAAGTTAAGGACAAGTAGTCCTTGACTTAGAGTTACAAGCATAAAAATTAAGGACAAGTGGTCCTGAACTTCGAGTTTCAAGTTCAAAAGTTAAGGACATGTAGTCCGGAAGTCCTCAACTTAGAGTTGCAAGTTTAAAAGTTAAGGACATGTAAGTTTGAAGTCCTGGATTTAGAGTTGCAAGTTCAAAAGTTAAGGACACTTTGTCCTGAACTTTATGAGTAGAAGAGTGTTTTAGTCCGGGCAAGTAAAGTTTATTAAAACAGTGGCTAAAGACTAAAGACATTTTAAATAATGGCTTAAAAGTAAATACATGTGTTATTAGTGGCTAACCGTGCACTTCCCCTCAATTTAGACGGGAGAAATTAAAAAATACCCAGATATACAAGTGGTCATTCAAAAATAACCATAGTTTCAAAGGTAATCGAAATTTAGCCATTTTTCATGTAAAGATAAATCTGAACGAAAACACTGTTCAAAATCCGGAAAAATACTCCAGTATAATATACTGGAGTTCTAGTATAATATACCGGTCTAACATAATATATTGGAATTTTCCGCGTGTTGGAGTTCCAGCATAATATACTGAAAGTTCATACACATGTGCACCGATCTCTAGTATATTATGCTGGAACTTTCCGTGTTGCAGCAAAATAATGTCTATTTTTCAATGACTTTGCAAACGATGACTATTTTTTAATGACCAGTTCAAAAACTGGCTAGCCCATATTATTTTTACAATTTGGACTACAGTTTGTTTTCACACTATGGTCCATTTTCGTAAAGGTAACCAAAATGGTTGTTAGCAGTAGTAGATTCCCAACATAAAACTCTGTACAAACAAAGATAATCCTATTATATAAGACTGGACAAATTACACATTTGACCAGTTGGTCAAAAATAATTATATCCGCTAGTCAAATATGTCAAAAATATGTGTATTACATGTATATTACCCATTATATACAAAGCATACAGTATATTTTGTCGGCTATTATTTTGGGAAGCAGTTATACTATGTAGTTTTCTCTATAAGGATTTCTCATAAGTAACAAAATATTGGCCTCATAAGAAAAAATAATATATGTAAAACTAATGCAGCATTTGATTGATATATTAAGGGAATTTTTCATAAAGCACCATCTTTTTAGTTTAATTAGCCATTTATAGATACCATTTGCTATATTACGTGTTATAGATACCTTTTATATTTTTATACAATGTATTTCATGTATTTAAGTTGTTGTATTCATTAATACAACCAAAAATATAGGCGTAAAATCTGGAATTCTAGCTAAGTTTGACTTGTATTTAGCTGTATTCAAGCGACATTAACATTAAATACAGTAACGTATCTGCGCTAAAAACGGAAGGAAATAAAATCACATGATATTCTCCTAATTTAACTCAACGAACTAAAACGATCCCTCATTAATCTGTATTTGAAAGATACATAATAAAGATTATAGCTGAATAAAGAGAAATGCATATGAATAATACAGTTGAATACAACAAAATACACATTAATTCATCTGAATAAAACACTTGAATACAACAAAAATACAACTGAATACAACTGAATAAACTCTTGAATGCAACAAAATACAACTAACTTCTGCTGAATAAAATAGTTGAATATAATTAACTACAACTGAATATAGTTGTATAAAACATTTGAATACAACTAACTACTGTTGAATAAAATAGTTAAATACAACTGATTAAACCTGAATACAAGTGAATACAGCTGAAGAATACATTCGAATACAACTGAATACAAATAGGCGATTTGGGCGATCTAGAGAGAGAAACAGGTCTATGGCTTCGCCGGCCGGCGGCCAGCCATTAATTCCGGCTGTTCAGCCCCGTAACACATCTACAAAAACCCTTTGTTGGGTTTAGGTTTTCAAGGGATGCATAAAGCATTGGAAGGCTTTCTCAAAATGGAACTCGTCGGACTGTGGCCTATCCTCTTTTCCCTTTCTGCTTCTGCAACTATGACGTCTACAGTAAGTCGTAGATTTACAAACAAACTTCTTAAAAATCCTTCTTTTTTTTCTTCTCCACTTTCATTCCTCAGCCTTGTT